AGGTCCCAGTGCCCTAAGGCACAGGAGGCACTTGGCAAAGGCACAACTCAAGGAACAATCAAGGCTGGATGAGGCCAACTTACCCCATGTCCTCCTCACAGAGGGCTCCGTCTGCAGCTAAAATGTCCCGGCCCAGAGGAACCTGGGTCAAGTACAAACCCACCAAGACAAGCTGAGCATCCTTGATTCCAATGCTCGGGACCAGACGCGCTTCAGAGTTAGGGTCCCCCGCTGCCCCAATTTTGGAATATTCATTGGTATATTCACATATTCATGAGGTGTCTTGGGGAGGGGACCCATGTCTAAACAAAAAAGCCATTTGTTTCCTATGCCTTACACACAAAACCTAAAGGTCATCTGACGCAGTATCAAACACAATGTTTGACCTTGACCACCATGAAGCTAGGTGGGGGGGCTTCCCAACTACAGTGTCATGTCAGCTCTAAAAATATTTCAGATTTTAGGGCATTTTGGATCTTGGATTTGCAGATTAGGGATGTTCGACCTCTCAGCACATTAGTCTTGATTTTCTCCCTAAATGCACGTGCAGGGCTGAGGACACAGCTCTGTGGGAGCCTTGCCCAGCGTGTGGGCAAAACTCACGGCAGGACAAACCTAAGCGTTACATCAAAAAAGTCATTCCAACAACGTCGGAGTAACTAACCTAGAGATCGTAAATTGACTAAGTGAGACATCAAAAAGCACCAGTTTGGGGGTGATGGTAACGAAACACTGTTTTCAGCTGTCTCTCCTCAGATCTGAACCCCTCTTGGAGATGAACAGTCCGTACTCCATAAATCACTGCTCTCAGCTGAGGGGCTCTTTGGGAACTCAGGCCGTGGGCTTCGGTGGCTGTTCACAGTCATGTCGAGGGAGCATGTCTCTGTGCTCACTCCGGGTCTAAGCTCTTGTGCCCTGAGACATGATGTCAGATGGGTTTCAGGAACCCCCTAGACCAAGTGGTTCCATGAATGAGGTTAGGGTTAGGGGTTAAGAGGTTAAAGGCCCACTAACTACCCCAGGTGTCTTCCTGCTTTCCGTGCTACGTCGCAGTAACTGTTCAGAGACTGTGAAATACCGCGCCATCAAGGTAACCTCTTCACTTAAAAAACAACTCAGCGCTGTTGTTTAAGATGAAAAATGGCTGGTGCCACATTACAGTTCAGCAATTAACTCAAGAGTTCTTGGAGCTGGAGGGGACCAGACGTTCTGTCCACCCTCCTCCCTTCAAGGTGTGGGAGCTGAGGCTGAGCTCATAACACACTGGCCTCCAGGACAGACGTGCAGCCCAGGAGAAAGCCCAGAGCCGCGGCTGGAGTCAAGCGTTACGTTAAAAACTTACACATTAATAACACTCAACCAGCCCTGAGCACCCACTAGGAAAAATAATCATCTGACTCTTAATCACCGAGGGACAGCTCGGCGGGAGGTCCCTGATAAACAAGACCCAGCCACAGGACACAGAGTTCTGTGGGTCATTCCCACTAAGAGGAGCCAGCCATCCGTCTGTCCGTCCGTTTCATAACTCTCTCTGACTTCGTTTTGTTTTTCGTTTTCCCTTCTCCCTTGGCTGGCCACATGCGCACCCCAGTCCAGAACAAGCTGCGGCTCGGCAGAGGAGGGCCGGGGGGCGGCGGGGCCATCAAAGCTCAGCCTCAGTTGATGGAAAAAGCAGATTGATTTTCCCAGGAAAAGCAAAAATCACAGAAATAACAAATGTTTGTTTGTGGGCACTTTCGGGTCTTTGTTTTCTGGGGAAAAACAAACGCGGTGGAAGACTTAAGCCTCAGCTTGTTCATTAAGTGGCTAAAAGGCAGGAGCAGGGGGGGACGTCAGGCCCTCCCCCTGAGCAAGGCCTCTCCTCTGGAGGAAGCCCCAGGGAAGACTGGGCTCCAGAAGGATGGGCTCCCACAGGGCAAAGACCCCGGGGACGAAGAAAATACCAGGGGCGAACTCCACACTGGGGCCCACCCACCCCAAATGCTGTCCTGCTCAGGCCCTGACGAGGACCATGAGCCTGAAGCTGACCAGAGCCAGGCAGGCAGCTGGACAGGCCAGGGGGGCCCAGCTCCAGGTGGGCGTCAGCCAGGGACCTCCCTGACTCCATGACCTGGGGACCTGGGGACCTGGGGACCTGGGGCTGACGTCACATATCCCTTGGCAAGGATCACTTCAGGTACAGACTTCACCAGGGGATGAGCATTCTCCCCTCCCTTCCCAGGTCCTAGAAGGGCCTCTGGAATTCTGAGTTTCCGGTGTCCCCAAAATGAAAGTCCAGTGCCACCACTGTTGTGCAAACCGATCATCTGCCTTAGTCAGGCTCACCTCCCAGGCCACCCCATCCCTCGGCCACGGCCAGAGAAAAGTCCAGAGGGCAAGAAGCAGGCCCTCGCTGCCTCCAGCCAGGACTCCATGTTCCAAAGACGCAGTCCTCCTCTCTCTCGCTTTGTTTTCTCAAAAGCAAAATATACTCTAGACTTTCGTCCCACCTACTCAGATTCCATTTCTCTTTCCCTCCAGAAAAGGGTCAAACGTGGACCAACAGAGAAGCCGTGGCCTCACATGTCCCCACCGGCCAGAGACACTCCGGAGGGTTCCTGGTTTTGCTTTGAGAACACAGGCGCTCTTCACTGAGAAGAAGGTTGTCATAAATAATCAAAGCTGAGCTGCACCTGTTAAAAATCAAGCAGCATTTCCTCATTAAGCCCCTAGTCTCCCAGCGTATTCGTAATCACTGATTCAGATCGGCAAAAAGCTCCTCACCCATAATGATGATGTGGGTCCCGTTTATTTTGAGACCAGGCATCTCTGGAGGCTCCTGGGCTCTCTTTGTGCTTATTTACAAGTCTGTCTCAATTGACAGAATTAGTTAGACACTGGGATTCTGACCACCATTCTGATGCTTAAATCATATTTAAATAAATGGTTGGAACTGCACCAATTATGTGAGTCTCAGCGAGCGCTTGGTGGTTAAGACAATCCCAGGGGCCACAATTTAATGGTTTAACTCTTCCTTTCTAAGCAGTACTGCCTAATGAAATCTTCGTCTACTTGTTATTAAAGAATTTTTTTTAAAGGGCCAATGTCCCAGACTCATGGTAGCTGACCTAAGGACTGAATTCAGAATGTAAGGACAAATCTCGCCACCGCCTCCCGCCTTCACCAAGCAGGAGTCGTGGCAGACGATGACAGCATTTCAACATCCAGGGGCTTCAAAGGCTTACACCACCCACCATCTACCTGCCTTCCACCCGTTTCACCCTAAACTGTTCCCTACCTGCTCACAGAGATGGACTCGGGCTTTTCCCATTTTCCTCTGAGTTTTGGCTTCTAGGTGTCAATTTTTAAATGTTAAAACAAAAAGGCAAAAACTTTTGCACAATCAAATAATCCTTTAAAGATGAAAACCTGTGGATGGCCTTTCAGAAAAGGACTCCCAGGCACTTTTAGGAAGGGGCTTTCGTAACCACGGCAGTGATGGAACAGGGGCTCGCATGCCATCATGTGATGTTGAACAGGAGGGAGAGATGGTCCTACACGTCCCTCCACTGCCACCAAGAACTCCTCCCCCACCTGACTTAGGATGGCTCCAGACGGCTGCATCCCCTGACACCCAGGCGCACACTTACTTCTCACAGGGAGCCCAGTGGTCCCCACCACTCCAGGCGGTGGAGTGCTGGGATGCCACTTCCATGATGAGGTGACCAAAAGCCACGACTTCTGTGTTCCTCCACTCTGGCTCCTCGTCTGCTCACCCTGAGGACAGCACAGCAGCTGCCCTACAAAGAGGCCCAGGTGGCAAGGAGCTCTGGGCTGCCAACTTCTTGCAGGAAGCACATCTGACAACAGCCACATGGCAGACCCTTCCCAGGTGAGCCTTCAGGTGAGACCCCACCCTACGTGGGACCCGGAGTTCCGTGCTGGGAGGCACCAAGAGACAGAAGAACCCACCAGGCTGCACCTAGATTCCTGACCCTGGCAACTGAGATAACACTATTTAAAGTCCCTGTGTCCCGGGGTAATTTGTTACACAGCAACAGGTGACTAACGTGCCCACTCACATTCCAAAGGCACAAAGAATTTCATAATAAGGGTTCCTCGAGTCCTGCGTCTCGAAGTTCTGCTTCCACACCAAATAGAGATTCCATCGCTCTCCTTATGAGACACCCTTCCTTCCAACACAGCCCAAAACTCCTGCTGGATCTCCTTCATTCTTATCCTCCCAAGAGCGGCCACCACGGCTCCTTGCCTGTCCACTGGACACAGCATGCTCTCAGGTCGTGGGCCTCATCAGCATGGCCCCACCGCCAGCTCTCTCGTCTGCCTCCCTGCTGGACCAGGGGCTCTCTGAGCTGCAGCCACATCCTGGCCCCTGTAGCTTCCCCAGTGCCTAGGACAGTGTCTCACGCAGAGGGGCTCAACCAACCTTGGCTGGACAGATGAACCAGGACCCGGAGGAGCCTTTGCAGGCATCTTCAGGGCAAGGTCAGCCTTACCCCCCGCTCCCTCCCATGAGCAATGATGTCAAATGTCAGGGCATCCTAGGATCCTCCAGAGGACAAAGGACAGAGGACAGAGGCCCGCCTGTCATCTTCCAGAGCCGTTAGTGAACCATTTTTCACGTCCCGGCCTCTAGCCCGTTCCTATTAATGCAATCCTGCTCTCACAGGGCAACTCTACTTGAGACTTCTCAAATTCTGCGCCAGTTTAAGTTTTACAGACCATAAAGCATATAGAAAACAGACACTCAACTTTCGACCCTTCAGTTATTAAATTCTCCTCATATAAAAGAACAATGCAAATGGGGATTGTACTTTAAAATAACAGCCAAGTCCCGGGAAGTTTTTTTTAGATATCAAACACTGACACGATCCATTATGATAATCGCTGTTTGGTTTTTTTTTGTTTTTTTTTTTTTTTTTTTTTTTTAATGTTCCTTCTAGTTCTTGCTAACTTTGGAGGGGTTTAAAAAATACACACTTAAGAAAGCTCAATCCTACCTTGTAGCCTCCAATGCGGTGTTCCTGCTTAAACTCCTTCCCGTTCTTCAGCCACCTCATGGTGGGTGTTGGGCTCCCCCCAGCTGGACAGCGGAACTTGACCGTGTTGGCCGCGGGGACTGCGTGCAGTCTCTTCTCCATCTTCTCCGTGTTGGTCCAGTAGGGCGCCCCTGATTGGAAAGACAGTGTTACAATGCACATAGAAGGACAGCTTCATCTCCACCAGCCAACTCCAAACAGGTAAGAGCAATTCATCTTAGACGACAAGGATCTGATTTTTTTTTTTAAATCTTTGAATAATATTTACATTAGGAAAATATTTTCAGCACTCAAATCCAGCTGGCCTAGCAGAAGGTCCCGGGAGGGACTGCTTATTGGTTTATGTCTATTAACGAGGGGAAAAAAAAAAAAAAAAAGCATTCGAGGCACCTTCTCTCTCTCATGCTTGGTGCCAGAAAATAATTTCACATCAAGTCATATTTTTAAATGCTACTTTACAGTCACGGTAACAACGCACGCAGTTAACAACAGCACAGTCCTCCAAAAATATATCATTTTGGATCCTCACACCTTTTAAATGGCTACATACACACAATGGTAAAAGCTAGCTGTCCTCGAAAGCCCCAGAAACTTATCCAATAGAGCTGAACTTTAAAGGGTGATTGATATTATAAATTCCCATCCTATTGTGAGGAACTAATCTAAATAGGCATCATTAACGTCCCAGCTTTATCTGACAAAATACCTTATCACAAAACATATTTTAATAAAAAGGTTTTTTTCTTCTCCAATGGTGGTTCTGAACACCAGAATCCAACCAGCACACCTAAGCAGATAACTTGACAGGAGGCCACCAATAAATGTTATGGAAAGCTGTGCCCTCTGAGTGGCCCTCACAGCCATAAATACGAGTAATTTTTTTAAACCCAAGAAAGGAGGTAAGTTTTCCAATTGCCATACATTTTATTAAAAGCCACGGCATCAATCCAGGATAAGCTATAAATTTTCTAAGCTGGCTAATAATGGCGAGGGATCATGGTTGACAGAAGGCTTCTCGTTTGTCAAGCAGTGTGTCTCTAAGAGTTTACATGTGTGATACCTTAACCCTCAGCAATCCAAGGGAACGGCTCTACAGTATTCCCTGTGCACAGGTGGGCAAACCGAGGCACTGAGCTGTTAAGTCATCTGCCAAAAGCCAGGAGGCTCAGAAAAGGTGTGGGCCAGAATTTGAACCCAAGCAGTCTGACGCCAGAGCCCACGGCTTTTAGCTGTGTTCTTTACTGCTTCCCCAGGGGTTAGAATCCATGTCTTCAACCACTGTGATATTTAAGACTGGCGTCCAGGGCAACTGGCCTGGCCTAAGGCACACTCCTTCCTTTATTATCTTCCAGAACCTCCACTGAAATGTTGGACAGCAACTGAACTTTTCACACGTTTCTGTCTTAGTAAACTGGTAACCTAAATCCATGCCCTTAAAGGGTCCATCAACAGGGCCTAGAATGTTCTCGAAGGACGATTCATAACTGTGCTGTTTTCTGATGAGGGTTCACCTGAGCAACAGCACCCACATTCCACAAGCCAGAGACAAAATGGCCCCAGGGAGGGCCTGGGTCCTGCCCGTACCTGGCAGTCTGCACTGCTCTACAGTGGCACAGCATGCCCCCACAGTAGCAATCACATAACTGAGCACCCAGACTCCCATGTCACAACTCGGAACTGGAATGGCTGCATCCATGTATCCACCGCTCTTTGCCTGCCTTGCTCTTGAGAGGACTATGGAAGGTGGGGCCCAGACTCCTCACCAAGGCCACGCTGTGCCTTCGTATCCTCTGGCACACTGAAGTGCCGAGGTCAGTGGGATTTAGGTGGCGAGATAGTACAGAGAGGGCAGAACCGTCCGGTGGGTCATCTTGCAGAACAGAGGCAGCGGGGAGGTCAGATGAGGGAGGCAAGAGATGGGCACGTTCTTTCCCTGGACCCCAACTGCATTTGGAACGAGCAGGCATCCCTGGCAGCCAGTGGGCTGGGTGTCCGGTGCCCATGGGCACACGTATTCTTGTGAGAGTTCACGGGGCTCCTGGATCCCCATTTATTACAAGACCCCTGGGGCCAGGCATACACTGAAACAATTTCAATAATCTTTCATTTTCAAAGCTTCTACTTAGAAAAACCCATCCACAGCCACTGAAAAGAAACCTTTGAGAGCACAAAACAAATAAAGAGCTTTGTTGCTGCACAAAGACTTTTACAAATCTGACCTAAATGAAAAGCACACCTCATGCTGTCAGGTGTCTGAACTCACGTCATTTGTTTAAGTAAACACAATGGCCTATTCACGCGAATTAGCTAAATATTAATGTAGTAACTCTTTCAGAGAGCATCAATTACTGCTGAGCTTATCCCTTGGAATGTCTTTTTTTTCTTCTCTACATAAAAGAAATCAGCAGATATGTGCTCACATACCATTAGGCATGATTTTTATGTTCCCTAAAAGGTCAAAAAGTGGGATTTGGCTTAAGGATGGAGGAATGTTGATCTTTTCCACTCTTGCTGAGCTAAGCCACCAGAGAGGCTGTACCCAGCACAGGATAGCCCCTGACCACGCGGCCATGCAGACTGACCTGCCCCTCCACCTCCCGCCCTCCACTGGGGCCTTTGTCTTGGTGCCTAAGGAATGACTGCAGGTTAGGGGGAAAGAATTTTGCTGGAATTTCTGGCAGGTAGCCACTTCCCTGGGGTGAAATTTCAATCATCAAAACTATACCTATAAAATCTGCTCGTGCAAAACAGACGCCCAGCCATGCGTCAGGGTGTGGGCACCCGCTTCTCTGCGTCTGAGGCCCATGGTGGGTGGGGCACCATGAAATCCAATCACTGTAAGCAGGAACAGATCCCCTTCATGGCTACGGCTCCATGCTGAGATTTCACAACGCTCCCTCAAGAACTGCAAGTCGTGACTCCACAGAAAGGCCCACGAGCCATGTTGTGCAAGGTGGCCTGGGTGTCCCGAGTGGCTGCCTCAAGCCCCTGCTGTTCACCTGACCAGCCTCGCTCTGGGGCCTGCTGACATCACACAGGCACAAGAGGCCCTGGAGGGAGGCTGAGTTCCTGAATTTCTTGAAAATGAGCCTGATGCTGGGAGGAAGGAACTGCTTTACGGGGCTGGGCTATAGGTCAGGGGTAGAGCATCCGCCCAGCGCACGGGGACCACGGATTCAGTCCCAGCACCAAAAAATAATAATTACAGTGGCTCTTGCTGAAATAAACTAGCTTAAAGAAAATAGCAACACTGTAAGGACAGCCATACAGCATTCCCTTTAGCCTTGGTCCCCACAGCCTCTTCTCTCCTCAGTATTTCCGTCCATTTCTGCAGTCTAAGCAAATGCCAAAGAACCACGAGGCAGTTGCAGGGATGCAGCCGGGCACCAGGGACAGGCCAAAACCCAAAAGGCTGGACCCGAACAGCTTCACCAGCTTCATCTGGAGAAGGAATTGGCACAACCAGTTAAAAGAGTCAAAGGCAGAGACATCCTTGTACACAGCGGGTGACCGACTATCAACAACCTGCTTAAAATGAACCCACAAGCCAAGGGCACCTTGGCTGAGTTCAAGTACGTGAGTATCTAGCGTCCACACCTCACCGGGCAGAACCCTGGGGGTGGACAAAGATGGGTTTCAAGTCGTGAATTGTGGGGGAGCTGCAGCAAGACCACCAAAGGCACTCGACCTGAACTCCACCAGCCACCTGTAAGGATACCACTTGGCCTCGCCCATGGGCATGGCCCCTTCGGCACTGACCCCCTCGTACCTTCTGATGTCACATGTGGCAGAAGAGCAATGCTCTTAGTCACTGAATCCTAATGATGAGCAAATTAAAAGAACAATAAAGACCCAGCCACAAGGAACAAATAAAATCCCATCTTCAAGGGACAGCAGGCCACTCGTTACCGTTTGCCACACTGTGAGAGATCATGTCGAGTGGAATTTCACTTTCCCACAACAGAAGTGTCTTAGGATTGGGTGGTTGAAAAGGGACTCATAACCCCACAGAAACTCCCCCTCAACACAGCCCTGCCGTATGTCCCCATCCCGTGATGAAGTGCATCTTTGCCTGGGCCACCGTGCGCTTCGGCACCAGGTGTCTCTCGTGTATGTGCTGAGTAACGAGGGCGGGGGCCTGAATGCATCCTCCACCTGCAGAGTGGGCTCTCAGAGCTGAAGGACGGGTGAACCGCGGCCTGACAAGCAGACAAAGACTGTTCCAAGGTTTAGCTCTAGAATTAGGAGTTGCTCTGACGGGGCCCCTGCCAGATCTAACATTCTTCCCAAGCGTGCTAGGCAGATACTGATTCTGTCAGCAAATGGGAGGATTAGAGGGGTCTTTTATTGACCCTGCAATTTAAACTTAATGAGAAACCATGGGCTACGGAGCCCATCCCCGCAAAAAACCTTTACATGTCCCCAATACGGACACCTAAGGTTCATGGTCTGCTCTCTCCCCAGAACCAAAAAGAGAGCACAGCCCAAGGTTTTAAAGGAAAAACATGGAATCATATTACAGAGCTGTACCAAAAGAGGCCTCAGCGACCATCTGGCCTGATGGCTGATGTGATCAGTGTCACCCAGAAAGGTTAAGTGATATGATCAAGGTCACACAGCCAGAGGCCCCACTGAGGCTAGCCCCAAGTCTCTGGCTCCCTGAGCAGTGCTCTCTCAACCACTCCCGACTGCCCTGTGAACTCTCCCATAGTAATTAAGTCAAAAGTTCAAGATTTATGTGGGCCATGGACGCTGATGACTGCCAACTGTATTTTTATTGATGCAAAAATAAAAACACACACACATACACGCAGCCGGTTCCAGCTCCTAGATTAAGTCACAAACTCCCTAAAGCCCCAGTAAGGCCTCTGCCCTAAGTCTATAATTAGGGCTTTTAAAAATATCACTAATCAGGACATTTGAATGCTCTAACCCCTGTTAGGGGAAACGTCACCAGCCTTGAACCCGCCTGGGGTTCATCTGTTTTCAGTCTGATGTGAACTTAGAGAAAGCCAATCTAACAGACGGTGGGGGTGTGAGCTGAGGGGAAGGTCTGTGGCTTCATTTGAGAAATCTCAACCAGCTCAAGGCCAATCAGAAACACATTTAAAAAAAAAAAACACACACAGAC